TTGCAGCAGTGCACAGCCGATGCCAAAGTCCGAAGCGTCACAGACGACGCTGAAAGGATGATCAGGGTCTGGCAGCGCCAGTATTGGTGCATGCAGGAGGCTGTCTTTTACCCCGTCAAAAACTTCTTATGTTCGGTGTTCCAACACCATTCCGCATCCTTTTTAAGGAGATGGGATAATAGCAGGGCCATTCCTGGGTAGTTTACGCTGTACTTGTGCAAGTAGTTGGCGAGACCGAACCACTTACGCAAGTCCTTCTGGTATGTGGAACAGGTCAGTCTACAATGTCCTTGACCTTAGCGGGATCCGCTCGAAGGCCTCGCTTCTCCAAAATCTCTTCCCCGCCAAAGGTGCACTTGTCTCCATTGGCGTACAGTTTGTTCATGCGCATGCACTCGAGCACAGCTCTAAAATGGACGATGTGGTTCTCCTCATCCGTCCTCCCGTGCTCCGCACGACTGTGAACAAAAATGTCTCAAAATATTTCTGTGCGTATGCCCTGTGGGGCCTGAACAAATGCGTCACAAGTCGATTAAATGTTGTTGGTGCTTTTGACAGCCCTTGAGGCATCACCAGCCACTCCCAGAGCATGCCGCTCGCAGTAGTTACCGCTGTCAGCGGAACACCACTCGCTCTCATGAGCAATTGGTAATACCCATCTCCCAAGTCGAGTGCACTGTACTTCGTACATCCCACCATGTTGTTCTGAAGAGCCTTCTTTCTAGGAATCGGCGCCTGTGTCGGAATGGTGGCCGCGTTGAGCTTATTGTAAACATGAACGATACGCCACTTGCCGTTCGGCTTCCGAACACAAAACGTGGGCGACGAATGGGGAGATTTGCTCTCACGTACCATCCCTGAGTCGTGCTTCGCACGGAAAAAGGCGTCAATGACGTCGCACTGCTTCTTGGGCAGGGGCCATTGGCGTGTTACGCAGTATTTGGTTCCCGAGACCAGATTGATCTCATGACGCACACCTCGGTCCGGAGGTAGGACCCAAGGCAAGTCTTTGGAGACGACGTCTTGAAATTGCTTTGACCAAAGTTTAGAGCGGATTT